CAAATATTATTTTTCTCGTTATGGAACTAAATACTATTTGATACAAAAATATAATCATCTCTACAAACCTCCAAATCATTTTGACTGGAAGATTCATTATTGCAAGAAAGAAATTTTGATTGATATTGACATAAACAAATATGTTAAACTCTGTTCTTATGATAGAACACCTTATTGTGTATTAAGTGGTGAGACTTTAATCTTTCTTGAATCAAATAAATTTAATGATTATTAAAAAAAAAAATGTGATGTTTGTGGGGATTTTACATATTGTGCTATGTGCTTTTATGATTTTCACAGAGACGATATATCTGAAACTAAAGGAATATTAGAAAAAGTGACACCTGCAATTGACGTTGGAAATTTTATATATTATTATATAAATAATTGTATTAATTGTAGAGAAGGTATTCTATTATCAAATCAGGATATATATAAAACAAAATGCAGAAACTATTAAATATTTTTATATAAATAAATATTCGAGTTCTGTTCAGTATTTACCGAACAGAAAATTATTTCGTTGATCTATTATGGAATCGAAAAAAGATTTTACCTTTATTAAATATGATCATAATGAGAAAAGAAAAATTAAGCGACAAAAACTTGATCCGTATTTTAAAAACAAAATTAGAACCAAAAACAATCAGAGATTCATCTCTTTACTTGACGATATATTACACATAATATTTTTTTTCTTAGCTCCTTCCAAACTCAAGCTCGATAATCTGGAGAATAGTGATTTTCGATAATTAAAGTTCGTTTGTCGCACATTTTATTTATTTTACCACTATTATTTTAAAATACATGCGACCAAGTATTATCTTGTGCCAAAACACATCACTCTCCACTCTATCAAAAAGTATGAATGGAATGTACGATATTGTCCCAAAACTATTTGGATCAACATTAAGATCGATGACTGTTTTCAGAGACATAAACTACGATCACATTTTTTTAACAATATACCCAACGATAACGAATTACATGTTGAACTAAGTCAATTATTAAACTTTAGAAAGATTTTACTATTTGTTGATTATCAAATATATCTAACATATGGGAAAACTACATGTGAAGCTTGTTCTTTGTTTACATACTGTGAAAAATACGTTTACACTTTCTATCAGAACGCGCCCTCAACTTGTCAATCGCTTTTGGACACTTTAACAAAACCAACCAGTAATGATTTTTATTTAACATACAAAGTAAATCTTTGTAAGCACTGTGAAAAATATTTCACAAAGTTGTTTATGTGTCAGGACTACAATGCTCTTTTGGATTCACAAAATTAGAAATTGCTATGATAAAGAAATTGGTTCATCTTCCAGAACACAATTCAATCATTTGTGATTCAATAAAAAAACTATTCTAATTTATTTACAAATTGGAAATTGCTATAATAAAGGGATTGGTTTCGGTGTTTGAAAAATTTCAGAATAATATTTCTTGTTTTGTTTTTAAAGCTTTTCTATTTCTAATCAGTCATTTAACTGATTAGATATTTCCCTTCATAATTTTCTTCCATGATTTATTTGGTCAAAAACTTTGGAGAATCCCATAATTTATTCTTAAAATTAAAATATATATAAACTCTAGTATTTTTTCCTAAGAAACAAAAAAAAAAAAAATGGGTTTTGAAATCGAGATTGGTTCAAACCTATCTTTGTGTTTGATCGAGTTGCAAAAGCTTTTTTTCTGTTTCTCACTGCTATATTTCGCATTTATTATGTTTTCTAATAAACGACCTTCTAATCAGTTCAAGACCGATTAGATTTTTCTTTACACAATTTTCTCCCATTTAGGTAAGAGGAGGATCCCAACTTGTATATATGTCTGAAATTTAATTTCGCTTGTTATACTAACTCTTACTTGCCACTTTTTAATCCGAACGATCGCTCACGCACTTTTTCGTTCTTCAGAATGCCTTTAAAATATTTTTATGTTGTTCTAATTGGTCGCACACCTGGGGTTTACAACACTTTAGAGGAATGTGATGAACAAGTGAACAATTTTTCATCATCATATTACAAAAAATTTTCAACAATAGAAGAAGCTAACGAAGAATTTGAAAGATACCAATCAAGAATTAAAAGAAAGAAAGAAAAATTAAGTTCTAACGATAAAATAGTTATATACACAGATGGTTCTCACAAAAATAACCAAAAAGGATCATATGCCAGTATTGGAGTTTATTATGAAGATGGAAGTAAAGAAATCACTGAACCTTTATCTGAAGATTTACAAACTAATAATCGTGCAAAATTATATGCAGTGATTCGTGCATTAGAAATATGTGAGGATCAATATAGAGTAATTGAGATTAAATCAGATAGCCGATTTGTTGTTAATTCTCTTGAAACATAGATTCATAAATGAGAAAAAAATGGATGGAAAACAGTAAAAAATCAAAATGTAAAAAACAAAGATTTGTTCGAGAAGATCGATTTTTTATTGACCAAGAGACCTGGACAGGTATATTTTATACATGTTTTTGGACATAAAGGTGTAACCGGAAATGAATTAGCTGACAAATTAGCTAAACAAGATGCTACAATTAAAATAAATGAGAGTAAAAAATTATCTCTATACAATTCGTTTATGAAAACAAATTTAGCTATTGTTAAAAAAAATAATCCAGATTTAGAACATAAAGATGCATTTAAATTAGTTGTATCAATGTAGAATGAAACAAAAAAACTCAAATAGTTTATTATTAACGATGTATTTTTTCTTTATTTATTTAATAAATTTTTATTAAATTAAAATTACACTTAAAATTTGTGAATTAAATCAAATATTTAAAATTTGTTTCTGAGATTTGACAAAAATGAGATCTTGATTAGAAACAATTGCAACTTGTTGGAATTGTTTATCATCAAATCGAGGCGTTTGTCATTTCGAAGAAACAACTGATGGAGAAAAAACTTGGTTCTTCCCTGAAGAACGAAAAGGCGTAGAGCATCGTTCAGATTAAAAAGTGGCACTAACAATTTTTCAGGCTAGAACCTGAAAAATTGAGTTTATTAATTATATCTAATCAGTTTAAACTGATTAGATGTTTTTGTATTTAAATTAAAATGTTTTCTCCAGAAATATTTTTTAATATACTAAATTATTATGAATTTACAAATTTTGAGGAAGTTAAAATTATATCACTAGTTAATAAAATGTTTTATAATCTCACGAAAAGCATTTTATTAAATATAACTTTAAAACGAATTAACAATAAATATAAATTAGAAATTAATAACCAAAACAAAGATTGTGACGAATTAAGATTCGATCAAATTTCTACATTATGTCAAGATTGGATTATTACTGAAATAATTTGGAAAAATTCGAATAATTATTTCCAAAAATTTGATTATATTTGTTTAAAAATATTGATTCCTAAAACAATTTATGAAAATTATTTAAAAACTTATATATATTATTATTTTCAACCGAGTAGTTTTATTGTAAATGTAAATTCTGATCAAATTTGTTTAATAGAAGATATTTCCAGTTTTATTTATTATCTTCATAGAAACAGAGAAAGTTTTTTATATGGAGAGTTCGATGGGAAGAAAATTTATTTACTATCGGAAGAATTTGTTGAATATCAAATTTCCAAATTTAATTTACAACCTTTACAAAAAAAAATTAACATCTAATCAGTTTAAACTAAACCGATTAGATTTCTATTTATATAATTTGTTTTAAATATCAAGCGATTTTGAAATTCAAAATATTAAAGAAAAAAAAATAAAACGTGTGGATCATACGTGGTTCAGAGAGAATGAAAACACAAATTATCGAAGACCGATAATGTTTCCCTATGATGAAGGTCATATAACCGAATATATTCAAATCAAGTTAAGCGATAAACAAAATGCTCTTCTTGATAAAGAACGTCGAGAATTTCTTAAGCAGCATAAATTTGTTCTCGATAAGGCTAATAATATCATCGAAGAAACCACCAAAGAATATTTAC